TACCCATTCCGTGGTCTCTGCCCTCTCACAGAACCTCAGCAGAGGCTAATAACACCAAAGACACAAACACAGAGAGAGGAAGGGACTATCTTTACTATTGGTAAAGCAGGGATGTTACAGGTAAAGGGGACTTGAGAAGTCATGGCTTGAAGGAAAGGAGGTGGAGGTTTCCTGGTGGGGGTCATGGTTTTATTGCCTTCATGGTCCCCAGACTCAGATCTCACCTCCTTCACTTCGATGAGGAGGCAGCAATGGGCAGTGTACACCCTACAGGATTGCACTGCTGGAGCAGACATCCCAGGAGCCACAGGCTTGGGCACAGGAGCAAGCCTTCCCCAATTATCTTTTGCCTCCTCCCTTTGGGTGGGGCAGAAACATCATGGGGTTAGATTGGAAGGGGGAAATGGAAGACGCAGAAGAGGAAGGAAGTGATATGGCAGGGTACTGGATGAAAGAAAAGATTGGAGTGGGGCAGTTAAAGAAGACGGAAAGAAGTGGAAAGACATCATCCCTTGGGAGGGATGGATGAAAATGATGGATATAGGCGTTATGATCCAACCCAGTGACATTATAATACTGAGTTTGGAGATAATCTGCTGGTACAGTAATGTGTTGGCAGCCTGAGTGTAGGTATGAGAAAGGGCATGGGATGAGCAAGCACTCCCATCTTCATGTAATTACTTACATGAGAGGCAGGAGGACAGGTTTTTTCATTAGTGATGCTGCTACAAAAGAGCTATTTCATGCAGTCTGAGGGTTTACGTTATGTAGGGGAGACAAAGAGCTAGGGCAGGATGCACACTGGCTAGCCCCCCGCCCCCAATCCCACATCACCCTTCTGTTTATGCAAAGGAGTCAGTGTATCCAGGATTGAGCCACTTAATAGTTGTGTACTGCTGGATAAATTACAGAGCTTGTCTAAGCCTCAGTTTTCTCTTCTGTATAATGGAAATAGCAGTATTACCTCATAAAGTTGTAGCGAGCAGTTAATAAAATAATAACAGAATGCCTAACAGTGCCTAGCACATGCTAAGTGCTAAAGAATGTTAGATGTAGGCTTCATCACTGAGTCACTAGCAGCTCTAAGAACCCATTAGGCATGGAGAAGGTAGGGAGTTTGGGGATGAATCTTCCAGTTAGAAGTTGCCATCTGGAGATGGGCTAGGAAATGGAGTAGAGTCAAATAGCAGGATTGAGAATTTGGGATATAACTGCCCCCACCCCCATTGCTACCTCCATTATAAGTCAGCCAGCTCACCCAGAGCTGCTCTTACCTTTTCATATGCTGAAGCATCAGCAGCACTGAGAACACCTGAGCTCATGAGTTGGAAGGCGGGATGAGGAGCAGGTAAGCAGAAGGCTTCATCCTGACAGAAGACAGCATCCTGCCATGAGAAAAAATTGGAGAGCAGATGAAAAAAAATTGGGGGTCTAGAGGGGAGAGGTGGGAAAGCACTGTAGGGAAGCAGCTGGACTAGGGAGAGGCAGAGATGTCAGGGAAGAGAGCTATGCATCAGGCTCACACAGCCAGGTTTAAGGAAGGGCTGCCAAGGTTGGGAGGGCAAGGATGTTTTTCAACATGGCAGCATGTGATGAGGGTATTCCCTCCCCTCCACCAACGAACAGAGGCAGTAAAGTCAGCTGGAAAGGGTCAAGCTTTCAGGAAGAAGCTGAAAAAATCTCCATTGTGTCCGGAGAACAACCAGCTGCCTTTTCTCTGATTCTCTGCTGGGGAAGTCTTTCCATCTTTCTCTTTTCCCCACCCCACTCTTTTTGGCAGTCCCACAAGCCTGGCCACTGGCTTGTCAGGAATTGCCAAGTTTGTTGACATCTCTCATTATAGACCTTTTGTTCATTCCTTCAACAGGAAGAGACAGAAAGACGTGATCTTAGGACTCTAGTTGTCATCTACTCAGACACTATTACATTATCCTTGACTAATTCCATCCGTGGGACACTAACAAAAATCCCAACTGGTAGAAGCTTAGAACTGGAATGGAACCTCCATGAATGCAGTAATTTTTGCCTATTTTAGCTACCACTGAATCCCACTGCCAATCACACAGCAGAACTCAATAAATTCTCATAAAAATGAATGAATACAAACGTTGATTATTTACTTATGAAGAAATGAGATTCTACACTTTGTTCAGATTCTCTGTTCTGGCATCTTCAGATTATTTCCCTCTTTCTTCTTTACCATCCTTGTGGTTTCTCCTCAAAGATCACAAGACGGTTGACTAACTTCATGATCACAGCTCCAGATCTCACCTCACACCCAAATCCAAAGCAACAAAATTGTCATGGACACTTTTGAGTCTCTGTTTTTCATCTAGGAAGCAAACTCTTTTTCAAAAGACCCAAGAAGAGTTCTCTTCTGTCTTCTTGGACGGATATGGGTCACATTCCCCAACTCCACCCCATGCAAAGGTGTCTAGGAAAGAGAATACTTGGCCAAGAGGAGTAGAAGTTTCATTATTGACTAAAACAATAATTTATCCTTCAGGACTGGGAACATTACCATTCTGAATGAAACCAGGATGATGTTCACACAGAGGAAGGGGAAATTGGCAACTCAGTGGGCAACTATATCAGCCAGTACAACAAAATCCACTTCTGCTTCTACTGTTGCTAAACTCTCTGACTTCCACCTTCATTCTCTGACTTTTTCTTTAGAAGACATACCCTCTGATATTTCTTCTACAGGCACCTTGAGCATGAGACCCAGGGGCCAATGAAACAATGTCTGTCCCTCAGTGACCAATGCTGAGGTACAGGAAGCTGGATAGAAAGCAAGAAAGGGAGCTGACTCAAACTTGATAGTAGGCTAATTTGTTTGTCCATTGCAACTCCTCCATGGGCCAGGTTCTGTTCTAAGCAATGTGGATTCAATGATATCCAAGTTAGACAAAATGTCATCTTTCATGGATTACGTGTTTCAAGGGGGAAGATAATATACTAACAGATGAATACATGTTTTGAAGCCAGGACTAGAAAGCATTAAAAAAAATAAATAAAGGACAGGGATACCTGGGTGGCTCAGTTGGTTGAGCTTCTGACTTCGGCTCAGGTCATGATCTCACGGGCTGTGAGTTCAAGCCCCATGTCAGGCTCTGTGCTGACAGCTCAGAGCCTAGAGCCTGCTTCGGATTCTGTATCTCCCTCTCTCTCTGACCCTCCCCCATTCAGGCTCTGTCTCTCTCTGTCTCAAAAATAAATAAACATTTAAAAATATTTAAAAAACAACAAAAAAATAAAGGACAAGATATAGAGCATTCTGGAAGGCTTCTCTGAAATAGATTGACCTTGTGTGTGAAGAACCATGTAACTATGGCAAAGGAGGGACATGAAGTGGAAAGGCCTAAGGAGGGAGGGTGATCATTGCTTATAGGAACACCAAGAACTCAGATGTGGCCAGGGTGAAGGATCCAAAATGAAGTTGGAAATATAGCCAATGGCTATATGCAGATAATGTTGGCCATGATAAACATTTGGGATTTTATTTTCTGTGTAATGAGAAGTCACTAGAATGTGTAATTTGGGTGGGGGCACCTGGGTGGCGCAGTCGGTTAAGCGTCCGACTTCAGCCAGGTCACGATCTCTCAGTCTGTGAGTTCGAGACCCGCGTCAGGCTCTAGGCTGATGGCTCAGAACCTGGAGCCTGTTTCCGATTCTGTGTCTCCCTCTCTCTCTGCCCCTCCCCCATTCATGCTCTGTCTCTCTCTGTCCCAAAAATAAATAAACGTTGAAAAAAAAATTTTTTTTAAATAAAAAAAAAAAAAGAATGTGTAATTTGGGCAAAAATTTGACATAATTTTCATTTATATTTTAAAAGACTCATTCTACTTGCCATAAGTAGGGGTATTAAGTTATTATTACACTGATTAATAGCACACAATTGAACAAACATTTATAACAAATTTTGAAAAGTAATAAACACCAATGGTATATTTTAGAAATGTATTTCTTAAATGAGAGAAATGGAGCTGTTTTTTCTTTCAGTAATTTATTTATCCATGAATAAATAATCCTAGAGAGATGAAATTTAGAGCCAATATATTTCTTTTTCTTTTCATATTTATAAGCTTTGAGATAATTTCTTCATAATTAAGTATGTAGGAAGGGAAAATTTTTATTGTAGTAATATTCAATTTGTTTGAATTCTTTTTGAGTTACTTGTTAAAAGTCATACTGAAGCTTATTATTAAAATTATTTTTGGTGGTCTACCAATCAATAACTGGATGATACCCTCTTTCAATATTGTGTCAAACACTGAAAGTCCTGCAACTTGTGAAAGGACTTGTTACCCAGTCACTGGATCACTCAACATTGGTGCCAGTATTTTGGACCATTCCATTCTGCAGATATTTATATCCCAGGATGATGAATTATGGTAAGGTTCAATGGCAGATAAATGCTGTATTTTTGTTTTGTTATTGGGGAGAAAGACAATGGCAAATTCATCACTTTGATCAAAATAGATCTCTGACACATAAGTTTAGGAAACAGTATATACACAAGCCAGAAATCTAGAAATTTATTCTTTTAAAACCATCCTTACCTCCTCCACCTTGGAAAATCTGCCTGCACTTAGTTTGGAACCCACTCTTCTATTCAGTGAGCCTCATAGGAGCATGCATGTTATTTACTTTCTCTGTGCCAAGCAAAATGTCTGGCATAATCATTGTCCTTTTGTTAAACAATGAGGGAACTAGGAGGCTGGAATATTAATCTCAAATTTCCCAGTCTCCCCATATTTTTACTAATCCTTGATGAGATGGAGTAATTGGGACCCTGGAGAAATTTTCTGGCTAGAGGAATTCTAAGCCCAGGGCAGTAATATCAAAAATACAAACACAGAGAGATGCAAAGAGTTGTCTTTACTACCCAAGAAGCAGGCTGTAACAAATGCAAGGGACAGTTTGAGTCAGGTTTCCTGTTTGATGTGTAGTTTCATTACTGTGATGGTCACACAGTTGGGTTCTCATCCTCCTCCCCCTCAGGTCAGGTGGCAGCAGTGGGAAGTGGTCCAGTCTATAGTGCTGCACTGGCAGTGGCATGTGGTTTCTCCCTGGATATCCCAGGAACCACAGCCATAGCCACAAGCACAGCTGGTGACAACCATTCCTATATGGACACATGAGACACAGATGTCAGAACCCTTGGATTTTGAGAGGAGGGAGGTGTACACTTACCATTTTTCATATCTGTGCAGCCCAGGGGTAGATCTAAGTTTTGTGGGACTGCAAACTAATTTGATTTTGAGAGCCCTCTTTAAGGAAAAAAATTTAAAAATCACTAAAACAAACTTAGGTATATGGCCATGGAAGAGGTCTGTGAAAATGAGGGGCCTGGGCATTTCTTTCCTTAGATTCATGATATATTTATCTGTGTGCTGGCCCTACTCACCAGACAAGGGAATAGACTGGGAAAGGGAGATGAAGGACAGGGGGAATGGTAGGTAACAGATCATAACAGGACAAGGAGGGGAGGGAGCACTGATATGTGAGCTCATGAAAGGGAGGTGGGAAGGGGAGAGACATAAACCCAAGAGCCCTCAGTAGCATCATTAAGGGGAATAAGAATGGGTAAGAGATCACTGGGAACCAGAGGTTACAACTCACCTCCAGGCTAATACAATCATGAGGCAAGGAAAGGTATAGGTGCTGGGGGATGGATGGGGTGGGCACAGGGCATCTTACTCACCATTCCTCCTCATGAAGTTACTTAGCTGCAGGGCAGAAAGACAGTTTGCCTGAGCTAAAGATACTGGTACATGAAATCTACTTTGCTGGGGCAGGATTTATTTTTTTTTAATTTTTTTTAACGTTTATTTATTTTTGAGACAGAGAGAGACAGAGCATGAATGGGGGAGGGTCAGAGAGAGAGGGAGACACAGAATCTGAAACAGGCTCCAGGCTCTGAGAGGTCAGCACACAGTCCGATGCGGGGCTCGAACTCATGGACCCCAAGATCATGACCTGAGCCTAAACCGACTGAGCCACCCAGGCGCCCCTACTGGGGCAGGATTTAATTCTGAACAGAAGAGAAGAAGGGGTATTGCCCATGATAGCTGTCTCTGATAGTCCCCTTCCAAATCTCCTTTTACCTCAGAAGTGTCACTGTGTCCATAATCATGCTACTCACTAGGTTTTAAAGTTCAGTTTTCTCATTTATAAAATGAAAGTAATAGTTGTACTTATTTCATAAAGTGAAAATTGAGGTTATCTATGTAAATTTTTGCACTATACCTCGTTTGTAATGAGTGTCCATAAATTATAATTATATTCCTCCTCATTACCACCATCATCAAGCTCATTATCATTAGAGAAACCTCAAATTTTAGCCAGCAGTCCAAAAATGATATGGGCGCAGAAAAAGCCCTGGGCAGGAAGATTAAGCTTGAGTGGACTTAATAGAAGCTGGGATCTAGGGATGGGACCAAGAAGAAGTTGGGTTTAGGAATAGGTGGCATGATCAGGGGTTCTCTCCCACTCTCTGCCCTCAGTCAGTTACCTAAGCCAGTGAGAGCTTCCTTTATCTTTGTGTCCACGATGGAGTCCAAGGAACACTGAGCATACCTTGGGATCATCAGCTGGAGAAGGAGGATGAGAATGAGAAGGAAGTAAGACGTAAGCTTCATCCTGTAGAACAGCAATGTCCTGGGGCTGGGAGGAAAGATAGAAAGCTGAGATCTCTGAGCTCCAGTATGGTCGAGAAGGAAGGGAACACGTGAACAGTCTCAAGAGAGAACAGATAGGAGAAAATCAGTGCCAGTATGGAAGACTCCGGATCTCTCCAAGCTGTTTGAAGAACCAGGGAGGGTGGCTGCAGAGCAAATTAACTCACAGATGAGTTCAGAAGAGGTCTACAAAGACTGGCCAGGAAAGGATGTTCTATACCTTATGGTAACTGACTTAGGCACCCCTCAACACATAAGAAAGCGCAGACAAACAAACACACTCCCCAGTACACTTTCAAAGAACTGCTTGCTTGAGTGTGACACACAACTGTGATAAACTTCAGTGCATCCATGATAAGCAACAGCTGCCTTTGTTCTGGTTCTCTGCCAAGGGGAGTCCTTCTGCCTTTCTATTCTTCCCTTTCCTTTCTTCTTGGCAACCTGATAAGGCCAGCACCTGAGCATTCTGTTAACTGCCCCATGTTATAGGTCTCTTGTTTGATCTTTCATCAGCAAGAGGTGATTTTATGGTCTTCTGAGTGAGAGCCCTATATGTCACCTGTTTAGACATCATTTTATTGCCCTGGCTAATCCCATTTGTAGACAAGTAACAGAAACATGATTAGCACTGGTTTGCAAACAAGGAAGCGTACGTACTATTTACTTAACCAGAAGCATAGTGTTTGATTGAAGGTTCTTGTTGGAGATCAAGACTGATGCTTTGCCTTTTTTCTACCATCCTCAATTCATTGGATTTTCATCCTTGATCTTCTCTTTTCATAGGCCCAAGGTAGCAGGTATCACATCCTCAGCCAAGATCCTGAGCAGGAAGGTGTTGTAGACTCTGGGTCTGGAGTTCTCTCTTGTCCAGCAAAAGAGCAGATGCAGGATTGAAATGCGAGAGAGGCTAATGTCTGGGAGGAGACAAGAAATGCGAGTAAGGGTCCTTGCTCCATTTTTCTTAGGATCAGAAGGCTTACAAGCATGATGGACTTGCACAAAGAGGCAATGAAATTGTGAACATTAACTCATGGGCATGAGGGAAAGGGGTTTTGAAGATAAGCGGTGTTAGGGGTTTGGGTGGATACAAAACACAGTAGACATGAGGCGCCACCTCTGTTTACCTAAACTTGCCTAGGGGACAAGAAAGAAGAGCAAGCTACCTCAGGATCAATAAGGCACCTTTCTTTTGCTAATTAGCTCAGCTCTGGGCAACTGGGGTCTATAGCCCTGTTTACCTGTTTTTGTCCTTCCTTCCTTCCTTCCTGTGAAAGCAACTTTCTGCTATTGTACTAAATTGGGTGGCACTTCTGCCCTGAAAACCTAATCTTGTTTACCTAATCTTGGATGTTTTCATCCTGAGATTTCCTATTCCTATACCTTTGTCCTCTACTGAGGGCCTTTGCCCTGTTTACCTAATCTTGTTTGCCTAATCTTGGACGCATTCATCCTGTGGCTTTCTATTTCTTTATGCCTTGTTAACCCATTGGTGCAAGCTCAGAGAATTCCTAAGCTTATTCCCCACAGGAAGGGAGGTCGGGGTAAAACCATTCTCTTTTGGAGGCTTTGCCTTTCTGTTTTGGAAGCAAATTTTCCCCTAGAAACTCAAGCAGATTTCCCCTTGTATTTCATTGTTCAGTTCTGGGTCATATGACCTCATTTTACATCATTAGTGGCTGAGAAATTAAGTAGATCTCTACAATCCCTTATTTTAGACCATTGGACCTATATATGATACAGTCTCCACAGTGGAGCACATGGTCACCAGGATTGAATCCCACGATTCAAAAGCTAGATGAAGTAGCAGAGAATGGCTGTTGGATGACCACTATTGGAGGCTGTCAGGTGGGAAAGCCTGGATCTACTTCTGCTGTGACCAGCCTCACTGTCCCTTTCCCTAAAGATGCCCCCTGAGGAACAGCTACTTCTACATATCTCTCTCAGGAAACTTTGAGGATGGGGCTTAATGGTGCCAGCAAAAAGGCAAGGATGCTTCCTTAATTCACTGATAAGAGTTGAGGAAATAAAGGAATAATATAGAACACAAAAGAGCACAGGCTTGGATTTGGTATAAAAGTTGGGTAGATTAGTTCATTTGTTAATTCAACAACTATAGAGCTTCTCTATACTAATTCTAGTTCTGGTGACTCAGCAGTGGGCAATGCAGGCAAGGTTTTTGCCCTCTTGAGACTATACTCTAAGGTGTAAGATAACTATACAATATGTCAGATATTAAAAAATTCCCTGAAGGAAAGAAATGAAGGCAAGACAATTGGATGTGCTTCTGTGTTGTATATAATGCAATGTGTTCAGGGAAGACACCTCAGAAAAGATGACTTATAAGCAATGAGCGGCAGACGTGTGGGGTAAGCCATAGAAAAAGCTGGGACAAATGTTTTGGGCTAAGGGTCAGCAAGTATAAAGAGCCTAAGGCAGGGGGGTGGGTGGTTGGTGTTGAAGGAATACAACAAAAGCAGTGTGTCTGAAGAGAGCAAAGTGAGTAAAGGCAAGAGAAGTGAGAAAAGTGGTCAAAAACACAACTGGGGCCAGGCTGGTTATAGAGCACTTATCAACCAACATAAGGGCTCTGGGTTTATTGCAAATTTGATGAGAAATTACTGGAGCATTTTGCTTAGGGATGATATGACTTATTTATATAAGATCACTTATATTTTATAAATCTTACTAAGGCCACTGCTGTGGAAGAAAATAGGTAAGCAAGGAAACCAAAGAGCAAGCTCTTGTAGAGTTCCAGATCTCAGATGGCAGTAAAGGAAGGAGTGAGAGCTGGGTAGACTTTGGTTATATATAGCAGGTTGAGCCTCTTAGGGTTTACTGATGCACTGGGTGTGGGGCAAAGGAGCAATAGAGTAGTGAAAGGTCAAGGTTATATTCTGAATGACTTGTTGAAGAGTGATGCCATTTACTAAAATGGGGACCCCTGGGGAAAGCATGGATAATGGCAAGAACATTAAATCATATTTGATCATGGTCAATTTAATATTCCTATTAGACATCCAGGTGGAGTGGTGGCATGGGAGTTGGGTATATACTTCTGGGGTCTGGGGGAAAGGTGAGAGTTGAAGATATAAATTTGAGACTTATCAATCCACAGATGAAAATAATAGCACAGGCAATTTAAGAAGAGAAGTGAAAACTTTTTTAAAGGAGCCAGGTAAAGAAAGTGATAGACTGGGAAGTAGATGACCAGAAGAACATGGATTAAAGATGAGTTGAACTGCATTGACTCCTGGGTTTGTTAAGAATGGCAAGGAAAGAAACGAGAACAGGATCACAAGAGAATGTGATTGGTTTACAGTGAGCCTGGGCAACAGAGACAGTGACTGTGCCCTTTGGGCAACACTTGGAGTTAGTGGCATGCCTAGCATATTTGACACCTGGAGGAGATCACTCTAACACTCCTCTTCTCTACATAACAAAATTATTTCTAGTAACAACTATGTAATGATCAGTAATAATCATTATTTCTTGATTCATTCTTTGGTTTCAAAACCAACAAAAACTATGAAAAAGACCAAATGTCAATTTTAAAGCTACTGTTTATATTCAGCATAGTATTTTTGTGCACTATCAGACAAAAAATATTATACCACTCAGTTTGTATTCACTTTTTAAATTAAAAAAAAATTTAATGTTTATTATTTTTGAGAGAGAGAGAGAGAGAGAGGGAAAGGGAATGAGCAGGGAAGGGGCAGAAAGAGCCTTAATGCATGCCCTCAAACTCACAAATCATGAGATCAGGACCTGTTGGACACTCAGCTGACTAAGCCACCCAGGTGCCCTGAATTTAAAATTTTAAATGCAATTAAACCCCATATAATCATATAGAGTGACCAAATAGATGTAATTTAAATCTGCTAATTTTTCTTTACAATCACTGGGCTATCATTGCTTACTTAGATTATACTGTTTAACTGCAGGAATACAGAGCAAGATAGGAGTTTTAAATATAAAGGCAAATTTGAATGTTTCAGAAGTGTTATGAACTTATTTTAAAAATTGAAATGAAAACATATAACAAACCCCTAGGTTAGTAGAAGGAAGAACAAAGATAAGAATAGAAATAAATGAAATAGAGACAAAAAAAATTTCTAAAAAATGATTGATGAAATTAAGAGCTGGTTTTTTGAAAAAATAAACAATATTGATAAGCTTGACACATCAGAGAGAGAGAGAGAAGACCTAAATAAATATAGTTAGAAATGAAAGAGGAGAATAAATTAATAAGAAGTAAATAATAGAGCTTCTCTTTTTATTAAGTTTTTCTCATTCTTTAACATTTTCTGTTTTTAATGATTTATAATAAACATACTTGGACATGTTTACAGTTTATAAATTGCATTTGGATGTATGTTTAACTTTTAAAAACTCATGGTGCATCTGAATAAAATAGTAGGAGACCAGAAAAACCAATAACCACAGGAAGTCTGCAGGGCTCTCAAACACAAGTTTCTAGCTCTATTTTTGGCTAGAGTTGGTTCTCTGATGAGGCATGGAAGTGTTGCTATTTCATCTTATGGATTCATATACTTTAGACAGTACATGAAAAACCATTCAGGTTGATTTTAGATGTAAAAACTGAAATATGGATAAAAATCGAGAGGCTGACTCTGGAAAACAGTATGGAGGTTCCTCAAAAAGTTAGAAATAGAACTACCTTATGATCCAGCAATTGCATTACTAGATATTTACCCCAAGAATACAAATACACTAATTCAGAGGGATATATGCACCCCAATATTTATAGCAGCATTATCCACAATAGCCACATTACAGAGGCCACCCAAGCATCCATAGACAGATGAATAAAGAATATATATTATCCAGCCATTAAAAAAAAAATGAAATCTTGCCATTTGCAACAACATGGATGGAGCTGGAGAGCATAATACTAAGTGAAATAAATCAATCAGAGAAAGACAAATACCATATGATTTCACTTATATGTGGAATTTAAGAGACAAAACAAATGAGCATAGGGAAAAACGAGAGGCAAAACAAGAAACAGACTCTTAACTATAGAGAACATACTGATGGTCACCAGAGGCGAGGTGGGTGGGGGATGGGTTAAATAGGTGATATAGATTAAAGAGTGCATTGGTTGTGATGAGCACCAGATATTGTATGTGTTGAATCACTAAAGTGTACACTTGAAACTAATATTTGACTGTATGTTAAGTAACTGGAGTTTAAATAAAAACTTTAAAACATTGAGAGGCTGACCCACTCTGAATAGAGATTAGTGATGGGTTTGCTTGGAGATAGGGCAATACATCCCTCAAAAATTATCTTCGGAATCTTCTCACATGTCACATAGATACCTGATTAAGACTGTAGAGTTCTGCACCATCAAGCAGAGAAAAAAACTGGTTCTATAAAACTTGATGATTTGATTCTTTCAATTAGCTGTGAAAGCATAAAGTCTCTTCACTAATCAAGGTTCTAATCAGGTTCAAGTCAGTTATAAGAAAAAATTTTGCATTCCAGTGTCCAAAAAGAGTATCCCAGAGTGGCTTACTGAATTTATTTGTCCAAAGGACCAATAATTGGGCCATCCAGGTCCTTTGGATGCTGGAAATGTCTAATAGACAATAGCATGTTGTTGGCATTTGTTGTTAAGTTACTTGCAGTAATGCTAGGCTAACAGACTTAACTGTTGGGTATGGACAAAAGCAGAGGTGAGAAATACGAGGTGGAGATGATTGCAGGAAGGGACACTGGGGAGGAGATAATAAAAGAAGAGGATCTGGAGGAGAGAATAGAGAAGAGGTAATGAAAAGAAAGAAGGTAAGCATGGTGGAAATTAGAGGAGGCACAGACCTGGAAGTAGACAGAGTTTTGGTGAAGTGGTTTAAAGGTGACATAGGTCAAGGTCAAGTCTGCATTATTAGATTCACCCTGGGATCACCTGTCATGGAGGCTATCCTAGTTTGCTCTCTTCTCCACTTGTTATTTTATTTCTCTGTCTCTGCATGCTAGCTAAAGAGAAGCAATAGAAGATTCCAGTGTTTTGATTCAGGAAGGGGGTGGGTCCAGGGGCAGACTGACAGGAGCCCCTGTAAAAGAAAAGAGACCTGTGGAAACTGGCAACCACTCAAGAGGAGGCAGTAAAAGGTAGAGGGCTATTGAAAAGTCTTTTGGTGGGGTGCCTGGGTGGCTCAGTTGGTTAAGCATCTGACTCTTGGTTTCTGCTCAGGTCATGATCTCCTAGTTGGTGAGTTCAAGCCTTGCATCAGCGACTCTGTGCTGACAGTGTGGAGCCTGCTTGGGATTCTCTCTCTGTCTCTTCCCTGCTCTCTCTCTCTCTCAAAATAAATAAATAAATAAATAAATAAATAAATAAATAAATAAATAAAATTTAAAAATTTTTTTAAAAAAGAAAGATCTCTTGGTAGTATCACTCCTGCTATAATTCTAAGAGTACATGCTCAGCCATTTGACTCTCCAATCAATGCTTTTGTGAAAGAACCTCAGATTGTCTGTCGGTGAAATGGCGTGTACGGTGAGGCAAGACCCACCATAACTCCTGAAGTTTAGGAACCATGTACCCTTTAATTTTTTAAAGTTGTAAGAGGGTCGCTGAGCTGATCTGGGACAAACTGAGAAGCCTGAGCATGTCTCTCTCTCTATACATGTGTATGTAGATAGACAGATAAAATCTTATTAAAAATAGATTTACATATATTTTAATGACATGATTATGGTTGTGCTGCATGGTAATTGGTGATATATGGTAAGCAGCTGACAGACATGACATACACAATAAATACACAAACACATACACAAAAAGGCTTTCCGGAGCCTTACCAGGTTTCTGGTTTTTGCATTCTATTCATTTGGCCACCTATAATAAATGTCTATATTGAGAGCATTTCCCGATACCAGGCTCTGTCTAATTCCTATCATAATCTCTAAATTAAGTCTAACTGGTAAATCATCTTCATGTACCCAGGAATTGAACATGGGATTGGGAAACATCTGGTTATTTACTGATCCACTCTACTTTTGAGATTTCTGGAATTTGAACTCGTCACTGGAAGAAGGAAAGCAAATTTATAAAGGGGACAAAGAGGCTCCTGAAAGTAAAGGATTGAGACTCCAACACACTGACTTTGAAGTTCAAACTCCTTAGAGTCTTGTGTTTAGAATGAGATTTCAGGACTTAAATAATCCTTTAGCTTTGAGAAAAAAAGCCATGTTTTCTGGCTTATTCTTAGTGGTGAGACAAGCTTAATGACACAAATGTTAAACTGTAAGGCTCTCACTGTGGATACATCATAAGTTCATAGTCTAAATAATTAGGTATCATTAGGTGTCTCTTACCTTCCACGTTGTTTCTCCTCCCTAACATTTGATGCCTTACTAGATTTTAAGTTGCTTGGGAGCAAGAATCATTACTTAATGCTTCTCAATATCTTCGGTGCCCAAACAGTATCTGGCACATGGCAGATGTCAATGGTTGTTGGTTGGCTGGTTGAATAAATGAATGGATGAATGTTGGCCTACAAATTTATTCTGCCTTTTTATGTGGTTCTATTTCACTTCAAGTTGAGGACCAAACTAGAGTCTCTTGGGCTATTGAAATATAACATGCTGTTGAAATATGTCGTGAGGGTTCAGGATCTTTTGTTAATTTTTTAAGGATAACCACTGAGTTTTGGTGGAAAAGGGTCAACCCTGGCATATCCCAAATGCAGTAATGGGTTGCCCAATCTCCCTGGTTCTTATACCCCATGTTCTCATTTAGTTCTACACTGACATCCAGCCAATATTGATTTTCTAAACCTCTCTGATCCATCTCTGCTCATTAAATTAATTCTTTTTTTCTTCACCTCTGTGTACCTTCTCTTGAGCACATCTTTTTTTCCCTTTCTTCTCTTTCTCTTTCTGCCTCTCCCCTTTACCTTCCTTTCCTCTCCTCCCCTCCCCTTCCCTTCCCTTCCCCACCAGACCTGGTCTCTTGACTCATGAGACATAATTATTTTATCATTTTTAAGCGCTCACATTTGTAGTAAACTACTTACCTATAGGGAAAAGAGACTGATATAATGATAATTAAGGGGAACACATTCCATTAAGACTCCTTCTTCTCCATTTTTTTTTTCTTGATATTCCCAGAGACAGACAAGCAATAGACTGGGTTGGTGAGAGAATATAGATGGCTGGTAAAAATGGGAAAAATGTTTAACATTACTGACAATGATATACAAATTGATATAATTATGAATGTCAGTATTTACCTCTCAGACTCAGAAGGGTTAAGGAAAAGGGAGAAACAGGGATTTCTTATATTTCTCTGCTGAGAACAGAATATTAACTTTTTTATGGGCGGTCATTTAGCAAAATATCTCAAAATTTTAAAATATATATTTCTTTTGACCTAGCAATTCTACTTTATGGACTTAACCTTAAAGAAATAAACAGGGGCACCTGGGTGGCTCAGTCGGTTAAGGGTCCGACTTCGGCTCAGGTCATGAACTCACAGTTTGTGAGTTTGAGCCCCACATCAGGCTCTGTGCTAACAGCTCAGGGCCTGGAATCTGCTTTGGATTCTGTGTCTCCCTCTCTCTCTGCCCCTTCCCTGCTCATGCTCTGTCTCTCTCTGTCTCTCAAAAATAAATAAATGTTAAAAAAAAAAAAGAAATAATCAGAGATGTGCACAAAGATTTATATGAAAAAAGTTCACTACATGATTATTTATAGTAGTAAAAATATATACAATACATAAATAATTTATGGCCCATTAAATATGATATATTAGGCACATTATGAGGAAATGCTTAGGACATACTGTTGGGTTATAAAAATCAGGGAACAAAACAGTATTTATTTTTTGACCTGATGTAAAGATGTATACAAAAATGTGAGGCATACATGCACTTATATTAATAGTCATTCTCCTGGGATGGAGGGATTAAGAATGATTTTATTTCTGTACTTGTAATTATTGATACATTCTGCTTTTTCCATGATTGTACTGTTTTACTATTTAAAATCATTTTATTTTTTTATGATTTTATTATTCTTCTTTCAATGTTTTATTCTCACATTAGATAACATACAGTGTACTCTTGGTTTCAGGAGTAGAATCCAGTGATTCACAACTTACATAAAACACCCAGTGTTCATCCCAACAAGTGCCCTCCTCAATTCCCATCACCCATTTTCGCCACCTCCATCAACCCTCAGTTCTCTGTATTTAAGAGTCTCTTATGGTTTGCCTCATTTTAAAAGTTGTCTGTGGCAGATGGAGGTGAAAAAAGCAGCAATGCCTACATACATGTCTCTTTGACTTTGCTGTGCCTCCTAGCAAGAGATGGTCTATTTTCCCACCTCCTAACTCTGATCTGGACTTGTGACTTGCTTTGACCAATGGATGCACCAGAAATAATGTACAACTTCTGAGGTTAGGCCATAAGAAGCCTGTGGCTTCCACTTTGTTCCCTTGAAGTGCTGCCCCAAAACCACCATGTAAGGAAACCAGTCTAGCCTACTAGAAGATAAGAAACCTCACCGAGGAGAACCAAGGTCCCCCAGTCAATAGCCAGGGCCAACTGCCAGACATCAGTGAAGAAGTCAGAGACTCTCTCCAGCTGAATGCAGCAAAATAGGTGGGCCCAGGTGAGTCTAGCAGAAAAACCTCAGCCCACAGAAGCATGAGAAATAATAAATTGTTGCTTCAAGCATTGAGTTTTGGGGTGAATTGCTACTCAGAAATAGATGTGAAAGAGCAATATAACCTTTAATTTTAAAAAATGAAGTCATAGGCTGGCTATGGTTGTCAATCTAGCTTTCAAGGATCTTAAAAATATTGCCTCAGAAATGTAAATAGAAGCATTATGGCTGTCACAGTATAGTTTATGTTTTGGAAGAAAGACTGATGAGAAGAGACTGTGGTGGTTTGCAGTGGGTCAGGAAATAGGTAGCGAGTATGGCTTTTTATATGTGTGGCTTTTCCTCACTGAAAGAGCACAATGTCTCTAGAGTATCTGTAGATGGCTCCAAATGGACCCCTAGCTGGATGTCAGCAAATCCTTGGATCCTCCTTCCTGTGAGTGCTGCAGAAGGGAGTGCTTGGCCAAATTTCCACGTGTCTTTCAGAACTTTCTTACCCAGTGGAACCTCCAGGGGTAGAGGAGAAGGAGAGTGCCATAATATTTTTGAAGATATTCTCAAAACCTTTATTTCTTATCCAGAGAAATAAGGAATATTAAACAGAAATGGTACAAAAATCTGTTGACTATTTTTTCTGATGTCTATATGATAAAGTTTCCATGATATCTTCCCAATATTTTAGCCCCTAGTCATCCACATATCATTATAGGAATGAAAACTTGAAGATAAGTCTCATGAGTCTGTCTCAGATGTCAGCGTGAGTTCAGCAGTAGAGTGTTAGAGCTACCAGGGCCCTTGGAGATGATCTAATTCTATGGCATCATTCAAAGAACAACACAGTCTAAGACTGAGACAACTACTGTGGCTTACTTTAGGTCACCAATGAGTGACTTTGTGGCACAGAGCTGGGAGCAAACCTAGGTCTCTCTGCTCCCGTGCTTTGTACTCTGTGTGATGTTGGACTACTTCTTCAAGCCTAAATGAAATCAGAGATGTGGGATGAGACACTGTCTTTGTTAATTTTAGGTACATTTCACATTTCAGCGGGATTATTGGTTGTAAAACAGGGAAGTCCAGAAAGTTATACAGCCAAAATGTTTTATGCAATAATATAATTAAACCATAAAAAATAGCAAAGTGATTCCTTTCTCTGGATGCAAGGATGCTCGCGACCACCAAGAATGAATGCTGTTTGGATTCAGTGGCACAGGTTGTGTGCTCTTCAGCAAAACTGCTTCCAAAGCCAGATGTCTGGTGATGGCTGCTGACTCTCTCCTCTTCCTCCTGGGTAATGGATATTTATTATAATACTAAGCAGGAGCATGTGGGGATTGGTGAAAGAAACCTGACAACATCTAATTTCAATATTTGATATTTTGCAGTTTGTCTCCCCCAAGCATAACCCTCATGAATGTCATACTCACTGACATATTCCTCTACAATCAGTCCCCAGTATTATTTTGTGTCTTCCATACTGAGCTCTGGCCAAGAGCCCTGAACTGGGAATGAGGCTTCAAAGCTGCATCAGCAAATACAAGAATGATGATCTATTGTCACATGCCCAAACCTGGCAGTTATGCCCATAAATCAGAGTCCAGGAGTTAGTTCTGCTCTGAGGTCTCCTCCTTCTTTCTGCTATACTTCCACCTTGGAATTAAGAATTTCTGGCTCAGAATTAAGGGAAGAATTTAAACCACTGGATCTTTCTGGAGTTTTCTGATGCCAACCGAGGCATCTGGGGTGTAACCCCAGCACTCCCTTTTGGCATCAAGTTTGGGCCAAGGCTCCATGATGTCTGAGCTCTCTTCAGTCCTGACAGGCTTTAGTGTTTTTGGCCCTCTGAGTTCTCATTTATCTCACTCTTCCGCCAGCAAGATGATAAGTTATGCTTACACAAATCTGGCAGGGGCCCAGCGTATTTGGGGGCTGTTATTTTTTGTTGGTGTGGAGCCCTGTCTACTTGCTCTTTGTGGGGTCTGGTCTGGAGGTCTGGTGCTAGGATTAGAGGTCTGGGCAATATGTGGATCAGGAGCTGGAAAACCTGATAAGTGAATGCAACCTTTGTTTTTGGAGAAAATTTTCATTAAGGTCAAAGGCATGCATGGCATTTAGAGCAGGAGTCAGAACCCAGGAAGTCAGGAGTTGAGTAGACCCTGAGACAAAGTGAGGGGTAGAAGCATAATTGGGAGCAAAGGAAGAAGGTCTAATAATGCAAAGGATGCAAATTTTGGCTAAAGAGCTCTGTCTGCCTGATACTTTGTAAAAATGAAGTTAGTCGTCCACATTTAACTGTAGGATATTTCACATTCACATCCAGATTTCCATCTCTTCTTGAAGCACCACGTAAGCTCAGGTAAAATAAGACTATCCCATCTAGAGTTTTCCCTCCGACCACTTAATTTACCCCAGAGGAAAATGCTCGTTTCAGGTTTGCATTTCTTGGTCCTCAATTTCCATTTTCTTCACAAAGCATTTGGTAGAGTACAAAAGACACACTATTCTTTTCTCTGAGTTTTCTTCTTGAGGAATGGTTATTGTTTAAATCAAGGACGCTACTTGAGAAAACAGAATTCTATCCAACATTCCTGATGCTGTCTCTTTCTATTTCATATTATGATTTTCTAGTTGCCAAAATCTTTCACATGAATCCTACACTCGAGCCTGTTTTGGGGGGAGAAATAATATATAAAAGCCCATGCTTGGTCTTGGTGTCATCATTTTAAGGAGCTAACACAGGTTTTCCAAGAAATTTCTTTTTCTTTTTTTCTTTTTCTTTTTTTCTTTCTTTTTCTTTTTCTTTTTCTTTTTCTTTTTCTTGCTTTTTCTTTCTTTTCCTTTTCCTTCCTTCCTTCCTTCCTTCCTTTCTTCCTTCCTTCCTTCCTTCCTTCCTTCCTTTCTAAGGACTCCTTTTGTGTTCTGGTCCAAGATAGAGGTATAGGAAGTCCCTAAACTCACCTCCTCCACAGACATGCAAAATCTACATCTATTTATAGAGAAATTCCTCCTAAAGAACTGAGGGCTGATTGAACACCTTCTGCACAACAAAAGATAGAGAGACCACATAGAGAAGAGCAAGAGAGATGAAGACAAGGTAATGAAGGGAACCCCCACACTCAATGTTGCCAGCTGCAATGGGGAGAAATAGTACTGAGAGACCATGAGCAAATTTGTCTGTCCAGAGGCACAGAAGAAAAGCTGCAGTTTAAAAGAGCAACTGCTATATAAAGTAACCAGCACTAGAGTCCTGCTAAATGGTGGGGGAGCTGCTGGAACTCTCCCCTCACCGCCAGGGTGGGACTTGCATTGCAAGTCACAACTCCCCCAAGTGCCTGGCCTCCCTATTTCCTTTCCTTGAGCCTTCCCCCTAATAAAAATCCCAGGGTTTTGAATCCCACCTTGGCAGCTGCAGCTCAGAGGACTCAAAATAGCACAAAATGCTTTATTATTTTTCCAATGTGGAAGGATGCTGGCATAATAAACACAAACCCTTGAGAGTGTTACTGAATTAATAAGCAGTTTTTGGTTTTTATGTATTTATATTTACATCTCACATGTTTGCACTTCTTTTCAACCCTCCTGCTGTCAACCCTCCTCCAGACTTCTGTCATCTTTCTCCAGGGTCCTTGATCCCCCAAGGGTCTCCCTGAAAGTGTCCTTGCTCCCTCTACTTCATTCCCCAGATGGTACCCAGGGAATGCTTCCTAAATGCAAATCTGTAACCAACAAATCCTTTCTTAATTCTTTTAGTGAATGAGCAGGCCTTGGTAGGATAAAATTATTATGAATTTCTGTTCTTTTTCCCCTGGACCTTCAAACCTGCATTTCTGCACCTACTTGTTCTCCATTCCTGGATGAAATCTCGGGCAGATTCTGCAGCTCTTTTGAGTACTCTAGGAATAACCAAATAGGCCTTTTGCTTTTGCAGGTAAAAGCTAGTTCCATCAAATTATTTCCCAACCCCGCCCCCAACTAGGCCCACATAAGTTTGGAAGCCTCCCTGTGGGAGGGGCCTTTGCACTTACCTTCCCAGTCAGATTCTGTTCTACTCACCTTCAAGTCACATAAATGTCACTTCCACAGGGGAGATTTTTCTGTTTTCATCTTAACCTTCAACAAATGGTAAATATACAGTTATTTCTATGAATCGTTGTTTAATGTTTTCCTCCCCAACTAGACTATAATCCCCATGAGGGCAGAGAATATGTTTATTTTATTGGTGGCCCAGATCCTGGCCCCTTAATAATATTCACTCAATAAATATTTATTTTGATAAATAAATATGAAAAATGTTTCTTAATGGGTACTGGAAAATATGACAACTATCTTGGAAGTGTAAAGGATGTTTAAAAGGGGCCCTTTTTGGGGCACCTGGGTGGCTCAGTTAAACATCCAACTTTGGCTCAGGTCATGATCTTATAGTCTGAGTTTAAGCCCCGGGTCCGGCTCTGTGCTGACAGCTCAGAGCCTGGGGCCTGCTTTGGATTCTGTGTCTCCCTTTCTCTCTGCCCCTTCCCAGCTCGCTCTCTGTCTCTCTCTCAAAGATAAACATAAATTTTTTTAAAAAGGGGTCCTTTTTTTTACTGAAGTAGAGTTGACACACAATGTTACATTAGTTTCAAGTGTATAACATAGTGATTCAACAGCTCTATATGTTATGTTCACCACAAGTGTAGTTACAACCTGTCACCATATAACACCATTACTATATCATTGACTATATTCCCTGTGCTGTACCTTTCATCCTGTGACTTATTCATGTCATCACTGGAAGTCTGTACCTTCCATGCCCCTTAACCCATATGCCCATCCCCAACCCCCTCCCCTATAACAATGACCAGTTTGTTCTCTGTATCTATGGGTCTGATTCTGCTTTTTTGGCTTATTCATTTGTTTTGTTTCTTAGATTCCATATATAAGTGAAATTCTATGGTATTTGTCTTTCTCTTATTTCACTTAGCATAATACCCTCCAGGCTCATCCGCGTTCTGACAAGTGGTAATATATCATCCTTTTTATGACTAATATTCCACTACACACACACACACACACACACGCATATAGCTGTGTCTTCTTTATCCATTCTTCTAACCGTGGACTCCAGTATCTTAGCTATTATACATGATACTGCAATAAACATAGGGGTACATATATCTTTTCAAATTAGCATTTTTGTTTTCTTGGGTAAATACCCAGAATTCGATTTTTAAACAAACTACATACTGCTTTTCACAGTGGCCGCACCATTTTACATTCCCACCAACAGTACGCAGTTTGCTTTTTCTATATATCTTTGCCAATACCTGTTATTTCTTATGATTTTTTAAAGTTTATTTATTTTGAGAGAGAAAGAGAGAGTAAGTGGGGAGGGACAGAGAGAGAGGAGGAGAGAGAATCCCAAGCAGGCTCCACACTGTCAGTGCAGAGTCCAATGTGGGGCTTGAACTCATGACAGTGAGATCATGACCTGAGCTGAAATCAAGAGCTGGATGCTTGATTGAGCCACTCAGGCACCCCTCTTTCTTATCTTTTTGATACTATCCATTCTCACCAGTGTGAGGAAGTATGTCATTGTGGTTTTGATTTGTATTTCCTTGATGATGAGTGATGTTAAACATCTTTGCTTGTGTCTTTTGGCCACTTGTATGTCTTCTTTGGAAAAATGTCTGTTTAGGTTCTTATATGACTGTTTCTTTTGGTATTGAGTTGTTTAAGTTCTTTATTTTGGATAAGAATTCCAATATCAATATATTGATATATATTTGATCTATTTCTATCTTTATGTCTGTTAATATTTGCTGCATATATTTAGGTGCTGTTATGTTGCATAGGTATTTACAATTGTTATATCCTCTTTTTGGATTGATCTCTTTATCATTATATAGTGCCCTTTGTCTCTTGTTATAGTCTTTGTTTTAAAATCTATTTTGTCTGATATAATTATTGCTACTGTAGCTTTTTTTTTTTTTTGCTTCCATTTGCATGGAATATCTTTTTCCATTATTTTACTTTTTGTCTATATGTGTATTTAGGTCTGAATCAAGTCTCTTGTAGGCAGTGTATAGATAACTCTTCTTTTTTTAACCATTCAGTCATCCTATTTCTTTTGACTAGAACATTTAGTCCATTTACATTTAAAATCATCATTGATAGGTATATACTTATTGCCATTTTATTGTTTTCTGGTTGTTTTTTCTAGGGCTTCTCTCTTCCTTTCTTCTTGCTCTCTTCACTTGTGGTTTGATGGCTTTCTTTAGTGTTACACTTGAATTTCTTTCTCTATTTTTGTGTATCTATTACAGGTTTTTGATTTGTGCTCACCACTGGTTTCATACATAATATCCTATGTGTATAGCAGTCTATATTAAGCTGATGGTCACTTAAATTTGAATACATACTAAAAGCACTAAATTTTTACTCCCTTCTCCATGTTTTATGTATATGATGTAATATTTTACATATTTTCATTTTGTGTATCTTGACTAATTTTGTAGATACAATTGATTTTATTACTTTTACATTCTAAATATACTGGCTTTATCAGTGATTAATCTACTACCTTTACTACATGTTTGATTTGATTTGTGAATTTTTTCCTTTTATAATTTTCTTACTTTTAGTTTGGCCCTTTCTTTGCACTTAAATAATTCATTTTAACTTTTTTTTTTTTTGTAAGGCTCGTTTCATGGTAATAAAATCCTTCAACTTCTGTTTGTTTGGAAAACTCTTTATCTCTCCTTCAGTTTTGAATGACAACCTTGCTGGATAGAATATCCTGGATTGTAGGTTTTTTTTTTCTTTTCAGTACTTTGAATATACCCTGCCACTCTCTTCTGGCCTGTGAAGTTTTTCCTGAAAAATTAGCTGACAACCTTATGGGATTCCCCTTGCATTTAACTGTTTCCTTTTGATGATTTTAAAACTCTATTATTATTTTTGCCATTTTGATTATTATGTGTGTTGGTACTGACCTCCTTGGGTTAATCTTGTTAGGAGCTCTCTGTGATTCCTGGGATCTGTGTGTCTGTTTCCTTCTTCAGATTAGGGAAAATTTCAGTATTATTTCTTCAAGTAAGTTTCTTCCTCCTTCTCTCTTTTCTCCTTCTGGGATCCCTATAATGTGAATGTTTTGTGATTGATGATGTTACAGAGTTCCCTTAACCTATTTTCATTTTTTATTATTCTTTTTTTTTCTTTTTGCTGTTCAGCTTGGTTGCTTTCGATTACCCTGTCTTCCAATTGCTGATCCATTCTTTCACATTTTCTAATCTGTTGATTTGCTCTCCGTATAGTTTTTTCATTTTGCTATTGAATTCTTCAGCTCTGGCTGCTTTTTTTTTATATTTTCTATGTCTTTGCTGAGGTACTCATTCAGTCTATCTATTCTTTCCTCAAGTTTAGTGAGTATTTTTATGACCATTACTTTGAACCCTTTATCAGCAATATTGCTTATCTCTGTTTCATTTAGCTTTTTTACTGTGATTTTGTTTTGTTCTTTCATTTGGAACATATTCCTCTGTCTCCTCATTTTTTCTAACTCTGTGTTTGCTTCTATGTATTAGGCAAGTCAGCTATGCCTCCTGAATTTGAAAATAAATAATGGTCTTATGTAGAAGAAGTCATGTGGTACCCTGTAGTGCAATCCCCCTGGTCACCAGGACCAGGTACTACAGGGTGTTCCCTCTGTGAACTGTGTGTGTCTTCCTGTTGTGGCTGAGCTGTGACTGTTTTGCCTGCTGTGGGCACACTGGGCAGGGTTTTCTTTCTGCATTGTTGAGAAGAGTGGCTGCAGCTGGTTGCAGGTTGGTGGGCAGGGCTAGCAGTCAACCTTGCTGTCTGAATTAGCCTGTGTGCTATAGTTTTATGTGCATTGAAGGGCAGGGCTTGCTCCCTGCACAGCCAGTTAAGAGACCCAGCTGTGGGAACTATAGATGCATTGGTGTGTGTGTGTTATCTCCCTTTCACTTGGGGCAGGAGTTACTTTGGAGTGGTGCTGGTCCCAGTCAGGGATGTCTGCCAGGTGTGGTGGAACAAGAGCTGCTTTGGTGGGATGCTTGAAGAGGTGGGTGGGTTGGGTGGTGTGGGTACATCATGTGGGGGCAGGGCACATGATGCTAGCAAGATAGGTGGAGATTGTTAGTGCTGGCTCCTGCTAGTGTTTGGCTATCTGGGCTGGGGGAGGGGGAAATGGCACCTGCCAGCACTTTTGCTCCTGGAGAAATCTCCTTCAGATCCCTGCCCCTCCATCACACATTCTAAGATTAGTCAATAGCTCACTATATACATATATGCCAGGAGCTTTTCAAACTGCTACTTATGTGCTGTGTCGTGGGCTTAGCTATTTGGTATGCCGGCTCTTTAAAGGGCGGGAACTCGGTTTTCTTATCATCCTCCTGCTCTCCCAGAGTTAAGTCCTGCTGAAAGCTCCTGGAGTTAAGCTCTACTGGTTTTCAGAGCCAGGTTTATGGGGACTTGTCTTCCCAGTGCAGGTCCCTAGGTTGGGTGGTATCCAGTGTGGGGTATGATCCCCTCAACTCCTCTATGCTTTCAATGTCCCTTCTGTTTGTGATTAGTCACACCCAGGGTTTGGTTCCCAACAACATCTCCACACCTCCTACCCTTTTCGATGTGGCATTCTCTCTATGACTAGCTGTAGAAGATGTTTGCTGCCAGTCTTCAGGTCATTTTCAGATAAGTTGTACAGGTGTAGCTGTTGCCTTGGTGTGTGCATGGGATGAGGTGAGCTCAGGATCCTCCTACTCCACCATGTTTCTGGTTCCCTCCTTTAATGAAATTATATAAAAATTTATTTTGAATGCAGAAGTAGAACAGTGAAAAGAGCAGACAAACTGCATACCAAAAGGGGAACAACATTGCTTGAGGTGGGAACTAATTAGAAGAATGTTTTATTTGCTGATATACACATTCTTTCTTTGCTATTTCAAGTCTTAGAAAATAAGATAATGAACTATTTATGCTAAATAACTATTGTCTTCCAAATTTCAACCAGGGCAGGTCTTGTGTTGAGATATAGGTACTGAAAAAGAGATGGGGGTTAGAGAACCTACTCTGGAAGCAATAGCCTCAGAAACTACAAGAGATGCCAGATTAGTTTCAAGTGATTTCATATGCTTTCATCTGTGTGAAAGCCTTTTCTGACTGCT